AACCCTGTTATCTTCAAAATTCCAAGAAATGAAATCAATATTTCATCGTTCATTTTTCTTTATCCTTTCTGATTTTGCTATTTCATTTCTTCTCTTTAGCTCTAATAATGCAGCTTTAAATAACATGACATGCTTGCGGACTTCATGCCTAGATCCCAAAATACTGTTAGGTTTCGAAATAATGAATCAAGAGTCGAAATGCAAAGAAGGTAACCTTGAGGAAATAAAACAAAGAATTGGAACAATTGAAGGAAAATTGGTTCGCGGGTTGGAAAGGTCCATACATTACAACAAAAGAGTGTGATGTACTCAGGGCACATCCGGGCTGTTGTACCAACAAAGAATGGCCCGCGCTTACAACAAGAAGGGCTTCCCAGGAATTTTGAAGTGGGACAACTCGTGTTAAGACGCATTCTCCCTCATCACCAGGAAGCAAAAGGAAAATTTGCTCCTAATTGGAAGGGTTCATACATCATCCGGAAAATATTACCGAGAGGAGCATCGTATTTGGGAGATATCGAAGGAAATGATCCCGAAACAGTTGTGAATGCGGATGCGGTAAAAAGGTGCTATGTCTTTCCTTCCCGCTATCCAATTGAGATGACGAAGGCTTTCATTCCCGCTATCCAAACACTATCAACCCCTTGCAAACCCATTTGAGCCGGTTATTCTTCCTTGGTTACCCTCTTTGGAACCCGAAAGTATTATTGGAAAAAAAAAAGACAAAGAAAAAAAAGAAAGAAAAAAAAGAAGAAAAGAAAAGAAAAATAAAAAAAAGAAGAAGAAGAAAAACAAAAACAAAACAAAAAACAAAAACAACCAAAAACAAATGTTTCCCTGAACTACGTCTGACTTGATTCCCAAAGGATACGTAGGCAGCCTCTCTCTGGGGTTCAGTCACACCAAAACAAAATCTCAATTCCCCCAAAAAATGAAACTGGGACAGATGATATAATGGCTCGGCCATAAGCCCACCAAAATGGTTCCAAAGTTGTAATTCCATCCAAGATTCTTTTTCCCCAAAAACCTTGTCCAAGTCCTTCCGATCAATTGGCAAACGCGTGGAATTGAAGACATCATTGTTGGAATCTGATGCAATCAATTGAGAGAAATAAAATGAGAGAGTCTTATAGGTGAAAACCTACGGGCACCATAAGGCGACGGTGAGTAGAGAAATTGAAAATGAGAGAGTCCGCTTAGTGAAAATTTGTAAAGATCACTATCGGGCGACGGTGAGAAGAGAAATGAGAGAGGTCGACTGGCGAAAACCCGCAAAGGGCGCGGTCGGCCGAAAAGAAGACATCTCACCTCTAAAAGAGTCCTGGCAAGGTTCCCTGGTTTTGAAATACGGATCAATGGTTTCACGAGAAGCTGGAAAGTTTGTGCGGGTTGGGCATCCAGTCCAACAAGCATGTCATGTTTATTTGAAGCTTGCATGCACCCCCAGATAGGTCCTTCTCTTCCCCCCGAAAGGGACGCTTCTCTTTAAATTCATCTTCTTGCTTACTTTTTCCTTGAATCCCTTTCGGTCTAACACTGATTTCGAAACTATTACAAAGAAAAGGTGGCAGGATTGGCTTTACAGGGCTCCCCCTAACAAAGCTAAAGAAAAGTACCCAGCCTCAGCGGGTGCATCAAGTCAATCCCGACTGGCCATGTTGGCAGATGCTTTGAAATCAAGCTATTGAAAGAGAAAAACAAAAATGGATTGAGGACAAAGGTCTTAGAGGCAGAATAAAGTGAAATGTCGGAGCCCCACGCGGGCGTATTGTCATGAAATCCTGCAAGATGAGCCATCCGGTTTGAAAGAGAGAAGAATCTTCAAAACCAGCAAGCAGCAAAGGTTCTCAACAGAAGCTAGGCCGGGATCAAGCAATCAAGGCCACAAAACCAACCACCGTTTCAAACTAACAATTATTCTTTGTTTGAAAATTGAAACAAGTGCAATCCAGGCAACCGCGCAAAAGCAGGTGCAGCCAAAAGAAAAGAAACGCGCAAGTGCTGAAACAGCTCTGCAGCAAATAATCAATGCAAAAGGGAAGTTTCCTCTAAGTTCTTTCCTGCATCTTATCAAAAACGAAAAAAAAGAGAAAAAAGAGATAACAAAAGAATCCTAAAAATGATGGTTTAGAATTCCCAATATCAACCTGTTACTTGGTTTAGCCAACATTAGGGCTCCAACCCCTGAGTTGAGCGTTTTCCCTTTTAGCCAATATTAGGGCTCCAACCCCTGAGTTGAGCATTTTCCCTTTAGCCAACATTAGGGCCCCAACCCCTGAGTTGAGCATTTTTCCTTTTAGCCAACATTAGGGCTCCAACCCCTGAGTTGAGCGTTTTTCTTTAGCCAACATTAGGGCTCCAACCCCTGAGTTGAGCGTTTTCCTTTTAGCTAACATTAGGGCTCCAACCCCTGAGTTGAGCCTTTTTCCTTTTAGCCAACATTAGGGCTCCAACCCCTGAGTTGAGCCTTTTTCATTTTAGCCAACATTAGGGCTCCAACCCCTGAGTTGAGCGTTTTTCCTTTTAGCCAACATTAGGGCTCCAACCCCTGAGTTGAGCGTTTTTCCTTTTAGCCAACATTAGGGCTCCAACCCCTGAGTTGATCGTTTTCCTTTTAGCCAACATTAGGGCTCCAACCCCTGAGTTGAGCCTTTTTCCCTCTAGCCAACATTAGGGCTCCAACCCCTGAGTTGAGCGTTTTTCCTTTTAGCCAACATTAGGGCTCCAACCCCTGAGTTGAGCGTTTTCCTTTTAGCCAACATTAGGGCTCCAACCCCTGAGTTGAGCGTTTTCCTTTTAGCCAACATTAGGGCTCCAACCCCTGAGTGGAGCGTTTTTCCTTTTAGCCAACATTAGGGCTCCAACCCCTGAGTTGAGCGTTTTTCCCTTTAACCAACATTAGGGCTCCAATCCCTGAGTTGAGCGTTTTTCCCTTTAGCCAACATTAGGGCTCCAACCCCTGAGTTGAGCGTTTTTCCCTTTAGCCAACATTAGGGCTCCAACCCCTGAGTTGAGCGTTTTTCCTTTAGCCAACATTAGGGCTCCAATCCCTGAGTTGAGCGTTTTTTCCTTTAGCCTTTTTTTTTAATCCCGGCATAACCCGTGGACCTCCCTGGCATAACCCAAAGAGCTTTTTTCTTTCAATCCCGGCATAACCCGTGGACCTCCCTGGTATAACCCAAGGAGCTTTTCTCTTTCCATCCGGGCATAACCCGCGGATCTCCCTGGCATAACCCAAGGAGCTTTTTTCTTTCCATCCCGGTATAACCCATGGATCTCCCTAGCATAACCCAAGGAGCCTTTTCTTCCCATCCCGGCATAACCCGCGGATCTCCCTGGCATAACCCAAGGAGCTTTTTCTTTTCCATCCCGGCATAACCCGTGGACCTCCCTGGCATAACCCAATGAGCTTTTTTCTTTCCAATCCCAGCATAACCCGTGGGTCTCCCTAGCATAACCCAAGGAGTTTCTTTTTCTTTCCGTCCCGGTATAACCCGAGGACCCTTTTTCTTTTCCGGCATAACCCGGTCATTTCCCAGCATAACCTGGATTCACTCACAAGGATACACAATCCTGATTTGATTGCTTATATATGTGTCACAACTAACTCACGAAATTTTCCTAGTGAAAACTAGGGCAGAAAATTTCGTTTGTTTGTTTGTTTTGGTATCTTAAGCAGGTTGACCTCAAGACATAGGGTGCGAGATGACCGATGGAATGAGTCTCAATCCAGAATAAAGAAAAGAAGAAAAGAACAAAAAGAAATGAACTCAAATGTGAAGCAAACAAGGGTGCGGATTGCTCAAAATCTGATTGAAGTCACAAGCTCCGCTGATCCCGCTTTGACCCAATGCTGCAGAAAGAAACAAACACCTACAACTTACGAGCATCAAGATTCAGATCAAGGTCCACAGCAAAATCAGCTAAGACTCAAGATCAAGCTTCAAGAGATTTATAGATAGGAATCTTGTAACTCATAGTTGATAGGCATAGCTAGCTTAGCTTTGATTTTCCTTTGTGGTGTAATAAGGAGGTCAGCAAGCAGTAACAGCAGCAACATCAGTGAAATCACAGCTCCTGGTAGTCCCAGCTACCAAACCTTCCAGAACTACAGTGACCTGATTCCTTTATAGCCAAGGATATGTAGGCAACCTTTGAAGCAGGTTTCGGTCAGACGGTTTTCAAAAAATGCTTCTCATGGAGTGACAAGCAGGCAAAAATCTCTCATAGTTGCTCATTTATCTTTGCCCGAAAACCCTTCGTGTCTCCGAGCAAAGAGGGGTAGCTGTGAGCACGTGATTTTTGCCTCGTTTATTTACTCCTATAAAATTCATTAGAATTAGGATTTTTCCTTAATTGTTTGAATTTTAGGGAATTAAGTGCATTTTTGTGTTTTGTTTGCATGTTGTGTGCATTTTAGTTGTCATAAAAATGAAAAAAAATTACAAAATAGCATACTTGCATTTAGGACCCAATTCTAGATTTTTAGATTAGTTAAACAATTAACAATAGTCTTTTGTATTGTTTTACTTTTAATTTCGATTTTTCCTTAAGTTTTCTTTTTAAACTAGGATTTGTTGATTTTTGAAGAATTAATTAGTTTAATTTTAGAATTAAATCAGGTGTATTAATTTTAATTTTGTATTAAACAAAAATCAAAAAAAGGGGGAAAAAGGGAATTGAAATGAAAATGAATTGTAATTAAATAAAGTGTTGAAACAAACAATTGAAATGAAAAAGAAAGCTGGCCTGTCACATTTTGGGCCATGAGCTCGAGCCCAAACCCCAAATCCGTTCAAATTGCCCAGTCCAAATGCACCTCTACCCGGTCCAAACGACCATGTCCTTGAGACCAATAAAACGACGTAGTATAGGAGGGATACTACGTCGTTTTGAACTAATGAATGCCAAATTAAATCCAGGCCATCCATCCACTCTAATCCAACGGCCCTGGTTCAATCGTGGATTTTAAATAAAAGTGTCCAAAATATTTCAGGAACCCTAGAGATAACTTCATCTTCCTCGTATCTATAATGTCCTTTCCCGTCTCCGCCACTCTCCGCCCTAAGCCGCCGGCCGGAAATCGCCTCCGCCGGCAGCGATGCTCCAATGACACCCAAATTTACACCCTTTAACCGCCTTCCTCTCCTCTTCCCAAAGCTCCGAATATCATCCCTCATATCCAAGCCAAGCTCCTCGAATCTTCAAAAACAGAAACGCCGTCTCCGCCGTCCACAGCGGCGTCACCCCCAAACGACACCAAATTAACACCATAGCCCCGTCTTCATCTCCCCAGTCCATGCATGGCCTTAATTTCCTTCAAATCCAAGCCGAATTCTTCGAATATTGAATCGAAGATTCCTGCCAAACCCTAAACACCTCCAAATCCAACCAAAACCCTACCATATAGCCTCCTTGACTTCCTCATCCTTAACCCCGAGCTAGAACCCTTCAAATCCCAGTAGAACCCCCTGGATTTTAAATCTAGGGTTTTAAAAAGCTTTAACACTATTTTGGGGGATTTCAAGCACTCGAGGGATTTTTAATTAATGTTGTATGTTCTATTTTTAACAAAATAAAACATATAGCATTAACTAAAAATCAATTTCGAGAATCAATAAAAATGAAGACCAATAACAATGAGTTTCTATTTTTATTTGATTTTAATTTTGTTTGATGATTCTGGCTTCCTCTTTGCGTCATCTTGATTAATTTTTGTTTAATTTTGTTTGATTCCTGTGTTTAGGATTAGTTTACTCCATAATTAGTGTTCTAGGTTTTAGTTTAAGTTTTTGATTATTAGTTTTAACCTAGTAATTGTTCCTCCTGTTTTTCTGATTTTTGTTAGTATAAATGTTGATTGATTTCTATTTTATTCTTGATTCTGTTAGTTTAATGCTTGTTCATGGTTAAATCTGTTCTTATGATCTTCTTTTGTTTAGTTTAACTGCTGTTTCATTTCAGTATTATTTCTATAGGTTTAATTGATCTCTAGGCAATCCTGTTAATCAGTGTTTGATTTTAATTCCTTTATTTTTAGTGTTCAGTTTAATCAGTAATTCTGTTTATATTAGTTTAGTTTCGATTAGTTTTAGGCATAACAAAACTCCAAAAACAATGCTATTCTGCTGTAGTTCTTAGTTCAATTTCAAGTTCTATCTCATACTTCAAATTTCTAGTTTACTTAAGGTCAAAGTAGCTTAGATTTCCTGGTTTGATCAATAATTGAGGTTTTTTAAAGGCTCCTGGGTTAATTTCAAGTTGAATTTGGTTTGTTCGAGTCAATTTTGGTTGCCTACTGGTTTTTCATTGCTGGATTCCAAGCTGAAATTGTTGTTGCTGTCATTTGCTGTTTGAAACTGTGATTAAGCTCACCACTGCTGCTGATCTCTCCTTTTCCTTGTTGTATTTCAATTTCCAGGTACACGTTCTGCTCCTGCTTTGCTGTATACCTCAATTTGAGAATGAAATAAAGGTCATTTCTCATAGTTAGATGAATCTTCAGTTTGTAATTAATTTGGGATTGATATATGTAATTGATCAGTTTGCTAGCCTTATAGATGTTTAATTGGACTGTATAAATAACTACCTTCAGAACTATATAGACATTATGAGTGTGATGCTAGCTGTAAACAAGTCTTAGTTTAAACTGTTAGAATAGTTGTAGTTTGAGTTTCAGATTGACTACTTGATAGCATTAGCTTCAGTGTTCCTATCAAACGCTGAGGAGTAGGTTTTGTAGTATCCACATTATACGGCTTATGTGAAATTGATTCAGGAGCTATTTATGATTTTCAGTGTTGGATTTCCACTTCGAGTCCATAATGTAAGAGCACATGAATTAAATCTAGTTGATTATCAAATTTTGATCAAGTGCTAACTCCTTAATTGAGTTTAAATTGATTTGAAATATAGTTCATCCTTGTTTAATACTAAAAATGCGAACGAGTTTGTGGATCAGATCCTAATTAACCTCAAATTGCACTTTATTTGTGTTTGAAATAAACTATTAAGATCTTTGATTATGCCAGTATCGAATTCGCTCATGTTCATGATATTTGGGCTACGTATTGGGCCCAACGTTTGGCCTGATTACCCATTAAATAATTTGGCCCATGTTAGCTCCAAGAGTAGTATAGTCGCCACTGGGCTGATGCTGAAGCCTGATTCTGGAAAGTGAATGCATTTTGGGTTGATTTTGAAGCCCAAGTTACTGAGGGCCTTATCCCACCGGCCAAGCTGTTAAGTTAAAGTTTGAAAATATTTGTTAATTGTGGGCTTCTCGAGCTAGGTAGCACATTTAAGCTAAGGGGATTTTCCTCTTGTTTGGATGTGGACTTGAGTTTGAGGGCCCGGATTCTTTAATTATTAACTAGGCCCTTTTGGAGACAAATTCAATAGAAAATAATAGTTTGCTCTAGGTTGGCCTTTAAAAATAAAACGAGGCGCGCTACGCCAAATGAAACCCATAAATTGCGTGGCCCTTTTTAAATGCTTATACTAAAATACTTAGAATTCGGGACGTGCCGTTTAGCGAATTTCACGGCCTCCCGCAAAGATAATAACACGTTAGTCGCTTTAGGCGCTTTTTTTAATAATTTTACATTCCTAAATACGGGTGTGCATTTCATGCGACCCAAATCCAAATCCCAAAATGTTGGATAAGAATGTGTCGAGGATCCGGGTGCATTTCATGTGATGTGATCCAAAAATACGTTTTTAAACGACGTTCACTTCTTAAAATATTAATTAAAAGCGGTAAATAATTTTAATAATTGCAGTATAGGATGACATGTATTAAAATTAGATTGTTAGCCAATTATAATAGTTTAAGCGACCGTGCTAGAACCACTGGATCCGGGGGGTGCCTAACACCTTCCCTCGGGTCAACAGAATTCCTTATTCAGAATTTCTGGTTCGCAGACTCCATTCGGGAAGTTGAATTTTCCTCGATTTGGGATTCAAGATAAAGGTGACTTGGGACACCAAAAGCCAAACCTATTCCAAGTGGCGACTCTAAAAATTGAATAAATAATCCCATTTCGAATAATGTCACTTTAAATGGAAAAACTCCCTTATATACTATCCTTCGGGGTAGGTGTGTAAAAAAGGAGGTGTGACACTCAACACAGTTGAACAACACATAAACAAGCATAGATGGAAGGAAATGGTGTTATAACTCTCAGAACGAAGGATCAGGTCGTTACAACCTGATACAACACATTGAGAATGAAGTAGGAGACAAGAAAGCTAATAGCCACAATAAGTAATCTCAAGGAAATACTACTTTTTTTCTCTCTTTTTTTTTGGATAAGATAAGAAACTTTACTAGTGGAGTAATAAGGAGGTATTGCAAAAAGATATACAAAAAGTTAAGAAATAAATTGTCACTAGTTCATCCTCCGAAATTCCAAAAAATTAACATATTGGACAAGCTTTCTATCCTATTGTTCCTGCACCAAAAAATAACTTATGGAGACATGATAAGGCCGGATAACAATGTGAATCTTAAGGGCGAAATTCTGAATAGATCATGATGAACAAAATCCACATTATTGAAAGGTATGGAAACAAACACGCCCGATTTCTAGTTATCAAAGTACCTTTTATCAACTAAACAATAATCTGTTTACTAATTTTGTACTAAAATAATTGCAGTCGATGTACTTCGGAAAATAAATAAATAAAAAAGAGTAACATAAAAGGAAAGGACTACCAAAACAATTCAAAAACCTAAAATAAAAGAGTTGTCAGGAGTCTAAGGGAAATCCAATTCAATAAAACCCGACCCTGCAAAAAGCAACATTTTCAAAAAAAGAAAAATCCAAGAGCTCCCAGCGTAGAAATAAAAACAAAATAATACTTGAACCACAAAACAATCGCAAAATAAAATTTCCAAACTATAGAAGCAAATTGAAAGGAATACTAAATGGGCAACAAATTAAAAAGAGATACGCACCTAGGTTTTAAGCTGAAACGACTGATAGAAGGAGATTAGTACAACCACAAATGTTAATAAAATAGATTGTATTAGAAGAATTGACGACCGTTACCTTATCGCAAATTTTAGACGATACCATTGCCGGTAACTTAGAAGCAAACAAGGAACATTCTGAAACTGGAAGATGAAGGAATGGATATTTCTAGACCAATGTTGTATTTGGAATAAAAGCATGTGCAGAGTGTAGTCAGCAACACGTGAAGCAAAGTTTTACTGAGCTAAATAACTATTCTACCCTTGGTCGACCAAGCGTGGCTCTTCTATATAATAGAAAATTAGTTTACTTTTTATTTTTGACAACAGATATTTCATGATATTTGGGGATGAAAGTTGATGTTTGTAAACTTTCTTCTTAAAAAATTTGAACTGTTCTTTTGAATTGGACGGATCATTTGATTGATATTGCTGTTGTGAATGTATTATCAAATATTTACTTGTATGGTTGGGATATAGCTTTAGTGATTTGACTTTTGATCAAAAATCTTAGTGTGAGAGACATAGAGGCTAATTAGCCTCTTTGAAGTTCCTCCATAGCACTCTAAACGGACTTAAATGTCAAATTTCTACTTCTTCCCTTAATGAATTTGTCATTCCTAAGTAATTTCCAAAACATGAAGATGAGAATGTCAAGATCTGATTTGTTTCCAAATACCTAATTTCCAAAAACAATATAGTAGAAATTCAACAAATTTATAGAGTTATAACATTTGAGGTTGTTCAGCATCTTGCCTTTTTATTATGGTATTGAACATCAATAGATGACGACAACTCTATGTTCTGTTCAAATCCTCATACCGCAATATTATATACAGTCCAAATCATCATATCTCTATTGTTACCGAGAACTTGAGTTACAATACAATTTCAATTAAGAGCAGTACTGTTAATTTTAAGTCTACCAAACTCAGATATTTCTCCGCCAGCGAAACAATCTTTCTAGAAACAAGATCTCATTAGAATTCCAACAGCTTAATTTCTGTACAGAAGTTTCACAAAGGTCTTCAATCTCATGCTCAGCACGGGCATCCATTTCTAGTATTTATATTCTTATATATAAGTGAGCAAGGTGTACAAACACTGCTCTGGACAATTATACGAAGTGCAAAGTGAATTGTACTAATTGCTTGGAACTATCTAATTGGGCATTGAGTTTCTTTGACACGTGTATTGTACTGCCATTTGTTGAGACAAAAGATATAACTTGAGTACATGGGTAGTTTAGTCTATTTATGTGTTAGCAGAGTAGTGTATTAGTTAGTTAGTTAATAACACATGTGATTAGTTATTAAGATGATTAGAGTAGTTAGTGAGGTCTTGTATATATACAGATTGAACAAGTAATGAAAGGCAGAGCATTCATTTTCCTTTTCTCTGTTACATTCATATTCATGATCCTTCTCTCTTCTCTCTTCTCCCTTGTTAGTTAGGGTTTCACTTTCTCTTTGAACCTCCATTTCATCATGGTATCTGAGCTCAAGCTCTGAATCGAAGCTCACAAATCGATCCTCTATCTTCTCCTCTACTCTGTATTCTTCTCTGCAATCTCAAATAAATGAGATCTCATTTCTCTATTTCGAGGCTCAAAAGTACTCAACAATGGCGATTGATGATTTGGATCATGAAAATAAAACTATCACAACTGAAAATGCATCACATGCATCCTCCGATGATGAATTTTAGGAAGGTGTTACAACTATAGTCACTCACCCTTTATATCTAGCTCCGGGCGACATGAGTAGAATCTCATTGATTTCATTTCAACTAACTGACACTGATAATTTCTTCTTGTGGTATCGATCTATGCAGATTGCATTACTTGGCCGTACTAAACTGGGTATTGTTGATGGCAGGTGCCCAAAAGAACGATTTCGTGAGAAGCATTGGAATCAATGGGAACGATGCAATGAAACTGTGTTGTCATTGCTGATGAACTCGGTTGCACCAGCCTTAATTAGTGGTATTACGCCACTAATGCACAGAAAGTATGGACTGATTTACAGAAGAGGTTTGACAAAGTGAATGATACTCGTTACTACAATTTGCACAAAGAAATTGCTACCCTAAGTCAAGGTACTTCATCTATCTCTGTCTATTATTCGAAGCTCAAGGACTTTTGGGATGAATCTGAGTGTTACGCCTCATGTTTTCGTACCTAAAAGTACGCCATAAGAAAACTGATGAAAGCTCGAAATGAGATAATACATCCCGTATTTTCGTACGTTAAAATTTCGTCGTAAGTTAATCGATGTAAGTTCAGAAATGAGATTATTTTGGGGTTATAAGTATTACGCTATTTTAAACAAGTGATAAGTAAATTCGTGAAGGTGAAAGGGTAAGAGAATCAAAGAAAACGAGTTTTGTCGAAGTTTGTCAATTTAGGATAAAATACAGTCCGAGCTATAACACCCGGTATTTGTGGACTAGTGCCAAACAAAGTACCACATGACTATAATACTAAGGTGTACAAAGGGTATTAAAAGTGAGTA